TAATTTCAGGTGATAAAATCTCTGCAGACCATCCCTAAAGCCTGACAAGGCACCAATCTTGTCCCGTGCATCTGTAGCACTTATACCTCTCACAAACATGGATTCATATGCCTATGTCCCTCTACTAGGCACTAGATGGTACTTCCAACATCCTGCTTTCTTTCTTGCTTGCTTTAATGTTTTCTTTGAAAATAAAAACAGGGCTCCAAAGTCTTCCTTTTAACACCCAAGGGTGTAGCCTAATGGTAAGCGAGTGAAACCATGAGAGATCAGTGCTCAAATTCCAGCAGAGACAAAAAAAGTTATGCTATTTCCCTAGGGGCCTCTATTTAGGAGCAACGCCTGGTTCATTAGATGTCTTGGCACTAAGGTATAACATGGTCCCTTGCAGATGACATTCCGGATTTCATGCCCTTCGAACCATATTAAACACAAGGAGTTGAATAAAACGGAATAAACAACACATAGTGCATCTGCATTAAGTTCTATTCACATAGGCATTGTGTTACCCTAACACGCCATTCTACTCTAAGTAACTATCTACTTAATTATCAAAATGCCAATGAGTTTTGGGAGGATATTATAGAAAAACAAGTACATTACACAAGCAGAACATTTGAAATGGAAAGCTAAGTCAACCAATTATGTCTAATGACGTGAGGAAAAGAAAAAATTGTAGAATTGAAAAGTAAAATATTAAATCTGAATGGATCTGACCAGCTGGCTCTTGTTGTCTCAAGAGGTGCAGAAGTTCATTGGTTGCAGAAGATCCTCTATCGACTCTATGATCCTCAGTATATCTTCTCATGTAATTTACCTTTTTGCTGGGTTCATTCCTCTTCGAGATAGCTATAACCGCAAGAAAGAAATTAATCATTAGAGACAAGAACTCACTGCTGCTATCAAGTGACAATTGTTTAACTCCATAGATGTTGTGAAGTGTACATTGGGCCTAACTCAACCCCAAAAACTAGCTCATGAGGTGAGGATTGCCAAAATCGTACGAGGAGATCACAACCCATTCCCTCAACTAATGTGGGACTTAACTCCACTCCTTTACCCGAACAACATGTCCCAACATTGAGAAACACAACATCAGGGATCAGTGGGTCTAGCTCTAATATCATGTTAAGAAATGAACATTGGGTTTAATTCAACTTATGAGCTAACTTTTGGATTTGAGTTAGTTCATTTCTTCACAATGTTAAACGTATTCTCTGTTTCATTTTACGTGATGGTGTGTGAGTTAGGACCGGGCATATATCGAGTAAAACCGATAGCCCGAACCGAAAAAATCCTATTGGATTATCGGTATCAGGTTATTGGTTTAACGATTCGGTAACGGTTTAGTGTTATTTTACTATTGGGTTATCGGTTCGGGTCTCGGTTTGCCCAATTTTTTAACGGTTTAACCGATAACCCAATAAACTTTATAAAAATACGATTTTACCCTTAGGTATATAAATTTTCTAATTCTCCCCAATTTTCTATCTACTTCTAACCCTTCCAAATTTGTCATTCAACACACAAGGAAACAATGTTGGAAGGTTTACTATATTCTTTGAGAGGGTTACAACAATCGAGAAAGTTTATCATATTTTTTATACAATACACATTATCTTTCATTACTTCTTCTAATAGAATCGAGATTGAGTTATCTTATCGGGTAAACCGATAACAATTGATAATCGATTAACCGATAACCGAAAACCAATATCTTATCGGTTTAGCATATTTATAAACCGATAACATTCACAACCAAACCGAACCGACCGATGCCCACCCCTAGTCTGAGTGCACATGGATTTTAAGTAAGATGCCAATTTGACTTTTATAATATATGTTATGTTCTTTATATCTCGTCTAGCAGAAACTAATCGAGCTCCGTTTTATCTCCCAGAAGCGGAAGCTTAATCAGTTGCAGGCTATAATGTAGAATAGTGAATGGAAGAGAATATTAAAGTAGTGGTTGAAAAGAGGCAACCATCACATTAAAGTTAAAGTGTGAATATGTTAATGAACTTAGAATCTTAAAAGTTGTGAAAGTTGCAGAGAAATGGAATGGTGTCAAACATTTTGGAGCGTCCTAAAATGAAAAGAGTGTCGGATCATTTTGGTTCCTGTAATTGTAGAGCGAACTAAGTTTTTTCTATATACATATTTCTGCACAATCTTAGTGTTGTTATTATGAAGAATATGATCTTTACTTGTATAAAAAATATGCACCTTGTAAATGAAAAGGTTTAGAATGCCAGTAATTATTTAGGTAGGAGAATGAGCTAGGTATGTTCCTTATCTGGCTTGTACATCATCGAAATTCCAACATACTTGAGAGGATAATCAAGCAATTCATTCCCCAAAGATCTCTTTGATCAATATTCTTTACAGAAATAAGGGTCATCAAGGTTTTAAGTCAAAAAGCACACAGATAATCACATCAAACTGTCATGGGACATTCCATGGGTTCTAGGGGGAGACTTTAACACTATTAGATTCCCGGAGGAGAGATTAGGGTGTAGTGTGATTTCGAGGGCCATGGAGGAGTTTTCTGACTTCATATCACTTTCTCATTGACCTTACTCTGTCAGGGGAAAGGTTTACTTGGGCCAGGGCGGAGGATTCCAACTCATGGTCTAGACTTGATAGATTCCTGACATCTCCCTCATGAGATGAGCTGGTGCCGAATGTGCTACAGATTCTTTTACCTAGGTTGACTTCAGATCATTTGTCTATTTTGCTAAATGGATGCAGAGGGAGGGGGGTGCGTGCTCCCTTGCGATTCGAAAACATGTGGTTGAAAGTGACAGGATTCGGTGACAAGGTGAAAGAATGGTGGACAAGCTACGGGGTATCAGGGACACCTTCATACTGTCTTTTGAAGAAACTCGAATTGCTCAAGGGAGATATTATTAGGTGGAATAAGAAGGTTTTTGGGAGGGTAGAGGTTAAAATGAGGGAGCTTATGCATGAATTGGGGGAT